TGTTTTGGCCGAACCCCCTAAAGCCTGTATTGTTGTTTTGGCCGAACCCCCTAAAGCCTGTATTGTTGTTTTGGCCGAACCCCCTAAAGCCTGTACTGTTGTTTTGGCCGAATCCACTAAAGATTGAATCGTTGCCTTGGTCGGGGAGACCGAATAGTCCGCCTAGCGGGGGATTTGTAGGTGCAGCACTAGCATCATTCTCCAGTCCTGAGGGATGGGACGTCTCCAACACAAAGATGACAGACTGTACCTTGAACGTTCCCATCTTAGTCACCATATCTGTCGCACGAGTCAATCGAACAGACCTCAGGTGACCATGCCGATTCTTTACACGGATCTGAATGAGGCGAAGGTGTTCTGGCAACAAATCGGCCAATGCATCGATGACGGAGTAGTCCGGTCCCAATGCCCGCACATGTGCTCGAATGCCCTTCTCGTGAAGAGGGAGTTGCTTGACATCATAGGTCCATTCGATGCCAAGTTGGACATCCTCACAAAGCGGTCGCAGGAGGTATGCCTCCATAATCTTGGGTGGCCAATCCTTAGGCGGTGGTTGTGGCAATGTGCAGCGTCCACCGAACATGCTCGGGGCTGCAGTCACGCCAAAGGAAGGAGCTTGAAGGCCAAAGGGTGAAGGACTGGCCTTGGCTGCAGCCGAAGAATTGTGCGCTGGAGCTAAGTTGGATGGAAGTGGGCTGGGATCTTTAGATACTGGACAAAATAATGAGAAGGTAGGCTTAGGTGCTGAAGTTAAACTGTTAACTTCCGATACTGAACTGGGCAATGCCTTCTCTGTACAGACAATACAAGGCCTCAGGTGGAGGGTTTGACGAGTTGTCAAAGGCATGGGGGGACACATACCGGATTTTCTAGTACTGGATGGTGTATCATCCGAACAATTATCCGCTGGATCGCTTGAAGTGTTTCCCGTCACACCAATAGGTTTAGCAGTTGTTCCCAATGCCAGCGAAGCATCCTTCAATGAAGTTTCCTGCACAGCCAACTCTGTCTTGGACTCACAACTGCCTGGTTTAAAGCTACTTGCAGTAGCGTCCTTCTCCGCGTCGACAGTAGGTGTGCTGTCACGTGTAGAGGCGGGAGTGTTGACGACCGCCTCGCTTGCTAGCGATGCTACGGTGGACGCAGTGGTATCGTAGGTATTACTGCCTGAAGAAGTGAATTGAGAGCGAAGAGCAAGTCCCTCTTTTTGGACGGCGCGCTCATGCTCTGTGTTCTTGACAAGCTCTGTTATAGCTGGTCGGAGTTGGTAGTCTTGGATGGAATTTGGTTGAATAAAGGTGGGCGGCCAGATACCGAATGCGGCGATATTAGGGTACCGTCCTTGTTGTCTAAATTAGGTTAGTGGGAGGGTTCTCGGATCAAGAATTGTGCAGATCCTAAGCTGTACAGTATACATCACATAACGTGGAACATAACCAGGTAGAATTAATCTGTTAAACTTCTCTTGCTGGAATCAGCGAGAGCGTCACATCGATGCAAAATTCTGACCTGAATTACCCACCCTTGTGATGTTCTATGTTGGGTGAAATGAAAGAAGAGGAATAGCGTACCTTAGCTTGTATCGCTCAAGCTCGCACTCTTCGAAGCTTTTCTCAAAGTGCAGAACAGGGTCCGCCGGTTGAAGCTGGATGGCTGCTTTCTTATGAAGCCAGGGGTAGTCGGGATGGCCGTATCTGCCCCTAAAGCCGCGAGGGTGTTGGAGCTCAAGGACGTCCCGTTCTTGGGAGGGCGTGGAGAGGGGGGCGAAAGGATTGACTGGGTTATTTATGACCACGGGTCCAGGTGGCGTGAGGCGTGAATCAGGAGTAATTGGCCATTGAGGCCATTCGCGTTGTTTTAGTGCTTCACGCAAACGGCGACTCTCACGAACGTCGTCATCCGTTCTCCTAGGGTCCGGTTAGCAGAATTCTACCGCGTGTTATCACATAACGTTGAGCATAATCAGCGTTAAATTCATCTGCCAAAGCCGTTGCTGGAATATGGGGAGGGCTCATAAGATGAACATTTCTGTCTTAGATTACCCGGGTCATGTTCCAGGTTGGGTGACAAGATGTAGTAAGTAGGGAAATATTACTGAAATACTCACTCAAAACTGGAACTTTCGAGCCGCTCCACCCTGGCGGAGCTGATGATCACCATCATATCATGGAAGCACCCGCAGAGAATGTTCCTGATGCTCTCGATTTCTCCGGGAGGGATTACAGGACTCTCCACCGTCGATGCGATTGATGCGTCCACATCACGCACAATAGATTCAGCCTTTGATAGGGCATACTGACACGTCTCAAAGCACACCGAGAGCTCTCCTAGCCCAGTGCCGGGGAAGGGGGAATTGTCCTCGAGTAGCCTTTTGAGGAGTGGAAGTGGAGCAACAATGGCAAACAAGTTATTGATGACATCGGCTAGGACCTCTGCCCCGGTTGGTATGAGGTGAATAGCAGCGAAAAGCGCAAGAGCCGTCTGCCGGCCTTTCTCGTCAACTTCGGCCAAAGTTCGCAGGAACGCGGCTCGGTGGTCGGCGTCTGCCATATCGAGCAAGTCTACCTGCGTCCTCACACGCATGAGTTTTCGTACACTTGGGGTGCAGAAACAAGATCTTGGCGACGATGAGGCAGACGAGGGATGGAGATGCAGCAAGCTTCAAGCCGGGGGATGAATGAATGAGGAAAGTACTCGCTCACAGAACATAGACTCAACTTACAGCTGATATAACGACAATAGAGATGAGCTCCTGCAGTGCAACGCACCCTTTGCCTTTCAGTATATACCTAGTTCCCCGCGAAGGCACACAGGATGTCAGGGCAGGCAGACATTAGGCATCGCCAGGCAGCGGTCGCGGCCCGTGGAACAGCGCCTCAACTGCGTTTCAGCCACGCTTCGAACTGTCCGAATACGGGCTACACGTGACATGATTCTCAACTGTGCTTATTGTGCAGCTATCATCCGATGCTGTGCTCCCAAGCAAACTTCAAACAGCAAATTGCAGGAAACGCAGGCGCAGACTGGGGGCAGACAATCAAACCCGGCGTTGGTCTGGCTCTGGCCAATATCTCGGCGCGCAGTCAACGCTCACATCTGCAACTCTGCGGCGAGCGGAGGGCTGGGCGGTCTCCTCACCAGGCCTGTGTGTCCGCTTGGCACATCTCATGATCCAACCCACCCAGTCGCTGCGGACGCTGCAGACGCTGCGGTAGCACGGCGGAACCTTGGAAGGTTGCTCAGCAGCCCGTAGTTTCCCTCCAAGCTGGCCAAGGCCGTGATCGCTCTCTCAAGGGCCTCACTGCCTCACTGCCAACGCGCCTGGGACTCAACTCATCTGCAGCCGCGTATTCCGTCTTGTCGGCCTCAGCATGGCTCTGGACAAGACTCCAAGTTCCAGCGGTCGCCCGGGAGCGGGCTACACTGATTGGCGGGCTGCAAACGTATCGACTCTGCCCAGTAACCCGCCAAGGGCTTGGTAACGGCTCTGGTGAAGAGAAAGCCAAGCCCAAGACCTCACCCAAGTCTCTTGAGAGCGCAACTTGAATGTAACCACTTTGTCTTGCCCTTTCTCCTGAGGGGAAGACTCTGCCCACTGGCCTGATCAATATATCATGACCGCCATCTCGCTGCCATCAATCCGACCACAGGCGCACCCCTAGTCATTGATGTTTGTCGACACGTAGCCCGCACTCGCCCCAACCCGCCGGCCATGGACCCCCCCCAGGTTCCGCCGACCGCCTCCTCTCCGGGCTCGCACACCACGACCACAACCACCCAGCAATACCACCACCAACACCACCACCACCACTACTACCAGTCGCCGCAGCGCAGTCCCGACAGCACCCTCAGCGACGATGACTATGTGTACAACGAGAAGGATGCATTCAAGCACCACCACTCGCACCCGTCGCCGCGAGGCCACAGCCACGACTCCGTCATCTCGCATCCCTTCTCGCCACAGGCATCGTCGTTGCCAAGCCCCAACAGCAGCGTGTCCTCGGGGCGACGCCAGCACCACCGCCTGCAAGACATCCAGCTTGAACATCCCGTAAATATATTACCGCCGCCACGAGCGCATTTTGATCCCGAAAAAGTCAATGGCTCTCCCCAGAGCCAAAGGGCCCCCACGCATGTTTCAGCATCGAATCCCGACGTTACAGCCATCTTGTACGATGGAAACGACAAAGGCCCTGAGGACAAGGCTGTACAGCTGCTGGTAAGTCTCCTCTAATCCCACTTGAACCACCTCGCTGTTCGATTCAATTGGTACTAATGACGTCGCTAGCTCTACCTCTCTGGCCCCTGCACGCTATTCTCCTTCCTCATAACCCTATGGACGCTTCTCTCCCTCTTCATTGTGCTGCTCCTGTGCCCCCTCCGGCTCTTCTCGTCCTCCCGCCCCACCCTCGGCGCCCGAATCACCACTTTCCTCGCCCCTCCACTCAACCTCCAACTCAACCTCATATACTCCTACTCCTCCGCCATTTCCTACAGCCCACCGCTCCTTGTCATCATCCACCTCTTCTCCCCCATCGTTGCCATGGGTGTTGCCGTCGCGGCGTGGACAGCCGCTTTCTTTTGGTTCTTTTCGGCGATCTTGGGAGACCCTGCGGGCCAGGACGGACATAATGACGGAAAGGATAGTATACTAGGCGTGAGAAATTGGTGGGATAGATGGTTGTCCCGGGCATTGAGGTAGCAGTGCGCGGGTCAGGGCGTGAAAGATAGGGAGTAATTGTAGACTTCTTCTGCTGAGTGGTGTGGAGTAATGATTGTTACGATATCATTTTCCGGGGCTTTTTCTGCGTGGGTTTGGCAGCGGCATTCTATGGCGTTTTTACCTACATTGGATTGGGTTGGATTGGGTTTGTAAAAGGGAGGGATGCTTGGAGGGAGGATGCGTTGGCAAATCTAGCTGCTGGCTTTCTTCAAAGGATTCCGGAATTATCGGGATCTATGGCGTTTTCCTTTCTTTTGGCTTCTGTGCAAGAAGGGCTCTTCTTGTCCATGTACGGAGTATGAGGAGCATTTGAATTTCTGGATGGGATGGATGAATGGCGGACTGGATTGGATTGGATTGGACTGTGGGGGACTACGATATACCAATTCTCAAATTTGTCCAACTTCTACAATGACTACAACTACCATTTCCTGTAGCATGCGACGACTCTTTCATTAAAGGCTTCTCAAACAATATCCACAAGACGGCACCTGTCCCCGTTGTCTGTCCCCAACTCACAACTTCAGCGCACATGCAACGCACATGCATATGCACATACACATACACAATCGTCGCCCCATCCCCTCATTGCATCCACACGGATCCCCACGTACCCAGACTCTTCACCTCCTCTCCTCTCTCCCAACAAATCGGTTCCCCACCACCTTCTAATACTATCCTCTCTTCTCACGTGCCGCCTCACATGTCCACCTAAAGTCCTCACCGCCACGGCAACGCCAATACCCGTCCATTTTTACGTCCGACCCACCAAAGTCCCACGGCACGTTCCGCACTCGGCAACCGCCGAGGATCCATGGATCTGTCGGGCTGAGTGGAGCCGTCGGATTTTGGTAGATATTTCGTAGCTGTTTGGGAGAAACCGAAATCATGGCGTGTGCCCTGCGCTTAGGACTCGCCGAAGACCGGAGGCATTTGCACAGCTAGTCAATTAGATGCTCTCGGAGAAAGAGCGTTAGGGGTCGTTGTTTAGAGTTTAGAGAGTAGCTGCTGAAGAGTTTCAGATGAAATTAGATGGGGTGGAGTGTTGACGAGCTCGAGGAACTATCTGGTATCGGGTCGGCCGTGTATCTAGTGAAGTGGGTCAGGGGGTTCAGTCATATGGAAAATGAACATGGAGGTAAATGCCCACAAATGCAATTGCGAAGAAAATACGTTTCATCTGGTACAGATCTTCTATTTCAGTCCCTTTAGTCCTAGCCTTTGGGCCAGAAATAGGAGCACCAATATCATTAATAAACGCAAAAGACAGTGGGTGCGAAGGTAATACTAGCACTTGCACTTTCGTATTTTGCATTGCATTGTTTGTACAATGATTGTGACAAGGAAAATGGTACTGTAGTTCTCAAACCTAGCTAAAATAAAATGTTATCTCGAAAGATAGCAAAAACCTCCCCAGTAGAGCTCAATGGTATCTCAGATATCTATCCTTCAAAACCAACAAGTTTTAAAGGCGGTAAACTCCAAATCCAACGCTAAGAACGCAGCGAGATAACAAATGAGGGAAAGGAAATGCCGGGTATTGTAGGTAGGCTTTTGTAGGGCTCAGTGAGGAGTGTTGCCATACTGCAATGCGTAGAATGCAGCGAGCAACGGTAAGGAAAAGACAGGGAAAGGAAATATTGTTTTGGTGAATGGACGAAGACTCCTTTAATCCGAAAGATGGTGACCAAATCGCCAAATGCCATCTAAAAACTCCAATGCCACACCAAGGAAAGTAAATAAAGGGAAACGGTTGTGATGTCCTTTGTCACAATGAGATCAGAAGTCTCATCAATCGAGCGCTCATAGAACCGAGAGTGCGTACGCGCGTGTGCCGCTGCTTTCCTCATCCTCTGCATATCTTCATAGCTTCATCCCCTAACCACTTGGTCTTTATTAGGAAGCCCAGGCCCTGACTTCTTCAACGTCCGAATTCGTGTCAACTCCCTCTTCAAACAATTTTTCAAACATTTCTCCACCAAATCCGGATTACTCTCAACAAACACCCCTCTCAAATCCAAATTGCTACTCCACTTCTTCTGACAGCTTCTATCACTCCCAATCTCCTTCTGGTACATGTGGTCTAGGAAGCCGTATGCATTATCGAACGTCTTATAGCAGCTTGTACACGCGAATGTTGATTTTTTTGAACTTGTGATGTGCTTCGAGTCTTCGGGTACGGAGCACGGGAGGTGGTATTGGAAAAGCAGTTGTCGGTAGTTGGGGAGTCCAGAGTGCGAGGAGACGGATATGTGTGCCAGGCAATACGGGCATATTTCTCGTTCATCGAAGCGATCATGAGGTCGAACTTTCCGCGATTGGAAACTGTTGCTTCGGTCCTTTTGTAGTTGGGTTGCGAAGGGACAGAAGTTGATTGAGAAACGTGGAGGTGGGAGAAATGGCACGGAAGAAGGAGATGATAGGCGGATGAATTGGTCGCGGAGAGCATGGAGACAGGTTCGGCGGATGGACTTGACGGTGGTGAGGATGACGTCGTGGGGGATGGGGACCGGTATTCGCGAGAGAGAGGCATCGAGGAGTGGGCCGGTCACTTCTTGTTGCATGCGCAGGAGTTGAGATTCGAGGATTGAGTGGCATATGGCTGTAGCGTATTAGCATAAGCATCCATTTGATATTCCGCCAGAGAGAACGACTTACAGTCTCCGCGTTCAAACTTCCTCCCAAAACAATCTTGACCATCTTCCATGAGTTCCCGTATTTGACGTCCCAAGCTCAGTGTTTTCCCCAATTCGTCGTCTTGATTTCGTGACCCAAAGCATACCCATCTACGACGCCGAGGCCTGTTCTTTGACAGCCATTGCTCGTAAGCGTCGTAAGAGTTCTGGAACTCGCGGTCGATGTCCCATAGCGTGAGTGACGTGTAATTAGACTTCCCCAGTGGGTCGGACATGATGTTCATTAAGCATAAAAGGGGAGCCTCAACAGTGATATCTTGGGTATAATGAGAAGACGAAAGGAAAACCGACGGTGAAAAAAAGAGGCGAGGCTAACGCGCAAAATACGGAGAGCAGATATGTAAGAAAGCCGAAGCCGTATTGCGTAAGTCTCAAGTCGACGACTGAGGCTGCAGCAACTCAGTCCCAGATCTCAGTTGCGCCAACCTCTGCGCTGGCAAACAATAGACCCGTGAGGGTGAGAACGGTTGGAGGTAGATATGTATTCTGTGCTTGTATCGTGCATATGGCTGCTGAGCTATCTTCTGGCTGGGCTGACAATAGGAGAAGGAAAGCATGATAATTTGGCTCGGCGATGCTGTCTTTCTGGATGTGGCGTCCATGGCGATATTGAGCTGGCGCCGCATCTCGCTTGACCATTGTTTTTGCGCGAGTGAGATTTTAGACACGAAGGCTTCCGGGACGAATTGAAGGGGAGATGGCGACGAATAATGAAGGCAGTCAATACTTATACCTTGTAGGGCTGTATTGTTGGGCGAAGAAGCAGACAAGAAAACACGCGGAACGAAGAATGAAGATATGGAAATGGCACTGACATTCACCCACTCCTCATGGCCCAAGCTCCTCGACCCTGTTTCGGCGACTCATGTCCATCTTGGGCGCCAGCCTGCAGCCACAAACACGTCTCCAAGCTCGCCATCAACATGCACGATCCTCGTCCAGCCTTGAAGATCACGAGGCTCACCCGATGCTCTGGTTGTCGGTGAAGATGTCTGGGTTTGTGGGAGACAGAACACGGGAAATGATCGACCCCCACGTCACGCCTTCCCTTCCCTTGCCCCGCCAAACCCAAGGCATTGTTCATTCGCCCCTCGTTGTCAACCTCAGCTCTCTCAACATCGCCCTTAACCCTGCATTTCTCGCCAACGCTCCCCAAGTCTAGCGGACACGTCCCCTCTCGTTCGTATTCCCCGAGTCTGGCCCAGGAATTGCTTATTTTGAGCGGCCATAGACAACAATGTCGCACAGCCACTCACATGATGGCGCGCCGCACTCGCATGGAGGAGGGGACCACGGCCACACGCACGAGATCCTCGATGGCCCGGGGAGCTTCTTGGGGAGGGAAATGCCGATTATTGAGGGGAGGAATTGGGAGGAAAGGGCGTTTACTGTAGGGATTGGAGGGTATGTTGCTTTTCTGAGCCCTTTCGTTCAATTCTTACCCTACCTACTTCCGTGGTCTTTGGTTCAGTGTTTTTTGGAATGTAGTGATCAATTAGCTACTCAAAGCCCACCATGCTAATTCCGAGGCGAGTCCCGTCGGTTCCGGCAAAACAGCGCTCATGCTTGCTCTATGCAAGGCTCTCAGGACACGGTTTTCCATTGCCGCTGTCACAAACGACATTTTCACGCGTGAAGACTGTGAGTTCTTGACTAAGAACAATGCTCTACCTGCGTATGTAACCCTTTCTCGGTGTACTGTCCTGTCCTGCAATATCTTTCCATCACTCTACCTTTCTCTATCTGGGTATACGCAGCGGAACATACCGAATCTTAGTCCAGGACAGGGAGGACTTCTTCCTTTGAGGTGCTCCTTGGTATTAGTAAGAATTCAAAGAGACAATTCTTCCCCTACGCAACTACCGTAGTCAACGCTAGGGTGCCGAGTAGCAGCTCTTCCAACATTTTTATATCCTGCACCTCGCTACACGTTTCTCCACCTTAGTCTAGGGCTGAAGCATACGGTACATCCTTTTGGCTATCTCCCTACTTTCAGCAAGAAGACTGAAAGATGATCGTCTTTATACTTGGTTTCTATAGTATAGGCTAGCAGGCAGCGAACCTTGTGCTTTTGTTCAGAACATCGGAGTGGATCCCGTTTAGCTCCTAACTCTACCAAAGGGCTATGGCTATGATTCGCTCCCTGCTCCACTCCTTTAGTATATACCGGTACATGCCTCACCGCACTAACGAAATCCCAGCGAACGCATCGTAGCCGTCGAAACCGGTGGCTGTCCCCACGCTGCCGTCCGCGAAGACATTTCCACAAACCTCCTCACTCTAATCCAGCTCCATTCTCAATTTGCCACAGACCTCCTACTTATTGAATCCGGCGGCGACAACCTCGCAGCAAATTACTCACGCGAACTCGCTGACTTCATAATCTACGTCATCGACGTATCTGGCGGTGACAAGATCCCACGAAAAGGCGGACCGGGAATCACGCAATCGGATCTGCTAGTTGTGAACAAGATTGATCTAGCGGAAGCGGTGGGCGCGGATCTTGGGGTTATGGAGAGGGATAGTCGGAGGATGCGGGAGGGCGGCCCGACGATTTTTGCAGTGGTGAAGCATGGGAAGGGGGTGGATAATATTGTGGATCTGATATTGAGTGCTTGGAAGGCGTCGGGGGCTACTCAGGCTCGGAAGGATAAGTTTGTGCCGGTGGTCATGGAATAGCAAGAGCGTGCTTTGGGGGACTGGATACCTATTTGGTAGAAGTTTTCTGCCTCAAAGCATCAACTTATAACCTCACCCCTCTGGCAAATGCTTCCTACTCCTTGTGCCGTAGTTGGGGGAGGATTTCCCCCCTCTAGCTAGTGGCCATAGCCTCTTCTGACAATCCAGTCTAAGAAGATGACAGGGCTCTTCGTGTATACCTGAAGAGGCTCGCGAAAGTCCTAGTGACTGGTTCTGGCAATTTTCTACAGCTTGATCCCCCAGAAAATTAGATACGGAATAGGCGGACGACTGATCAAGAAATCCGAAAACACTTTGCCCGTTACTGTGATCATCCTCGTCCTTGCTAGCTATCTTTACAAAAATAATGAAGTCATCTAGCTAGTCGTCGACTCCAGCGGCGCCTAGCGCAAGCAGAGCTCGTTAGAAATTGCTAGTCATGTTTGGAACGTTAGTATCCAGTTAATAATGGCCTGGTTCATCCGAACACCCTTGTTTAATTAGCGCACATGCCTTCTACTGATATCGACACTCTGTTAAGGTCTACCTAGGTTGCGACTCTGCGCAACCTGGGAGTGTCCCGCCCGGAAGAACGAGCTGTTTGCGAGGCCCATGGCGGCACTCAGGTGCAAGCATTGACCCCATCGGGCAGTTAGTTTAGGAGTCCCCTCGTTGGACCAAGTGTCAATCATTTTAATTCAGTTCGATTGCCGACAGATATGTCACACTAGCGGCTACCAGCGTCCCACCCGCTGTTTGAAACGTAGTCCATCAGCCACCCGGTTTGTCGCTCTACCAATCCTCATCCACTTAGCATGATCACTGTTAGACATGAAGCACTAAAAATTTAAAAAGCTGCGGCTTATGCTATAAGATGCACGTCCCTCTTTAATCACAATGAGAGAATGGACAAGTCGTCTGGGTCGGAACCTCTGCACAAAGCTGGGTACTGATCCCATGTGGAAAGCCATAGACCCACTCGGCGACAAAGACAATCTACTCGACGTCAGACATGGTAGCCTGAAGTGTTCGGATATCCGCGTTTGTGGTACCTAACGCCTTAACGCCTGCTCTCCACATGCAATAGAATGTACTGCCCGTGCTGGTGCAAGATGCTGAGGGGATGGCACTAGTTTTTGCTCGGAGCTGGATCACAAGTTCCATACACCGTCTTCTTCTCTCCTCTCAGACCCACACATTTATTGTCAGCGCAACCACTGCCTGCCTTCTCCGCCGCTTTCCACGTATCGCAGTATTCTTTGCAAAACAAACACCGAGTCTTCAAATCTCTCTTGCTTATCTTCTCTATATTGTCCTTCACCATTGGTCCGTCACTTACAAGCATCAGCGCCGGAAACCCAAAGCCCTTACTGCGCTCTCAGTACGGATATTTTGCAATGATCTCGCATTATACGGCTTGCCCAGGACGTCACCGACTGCGGATATACCTGGCACAAACGTAGAAGTGCCTATACAACACTCACTCACTCTCCTGTCTTTTGAGAAAATTTGCCCTTTTTGGAATCCCTCATAGGACAATCTCCATCGTAGTAGTTCTAGCAGTGGAACCTGACTGTCTCTGCCACATCGGGCCCCTCCTGCTAGCGTATTAACCCCAGCTGGTAGCCCAAGCATATGTGGAGTCTTGATCGTCTAGGTCGCGAACCATAATGGTGGTATAGTTGGTTATAGTCTCATTGAGGGTGTTGAGGTATTTCTGTGTCTTGAGCGTCGTTAGGTTGGAGCGTAGGGGTGGCATTGAAGATGGTGCGAGGGAAGACGTTGTGCTTTAGCGAGGGAGCTAATGGACTTCAGTTGCAGCATATAAAGAGACAAAGATGGCAAACACAGTAGCAACGGCTATCATCCTCGTTGGCAAGTGTGTGGGCATTATTCAATGATTTCGAGCTATTCAGAAGCAAGTGGTGAGGAAGTCCAACTCGACGGCAAGAGGAAAAGGGGAGATATACGGAGTACAACTAAGATTTCGCAACTTCTCCCCGCCTTAGCGGAGAGCTGCCCTTCTACAGCAAAAGATGGCACATGTTCTAGTTTAAACGTGTTATTGAATGACTTTGAGACAAGCCTGCAATGGAGCTTAAGGTGTTTGGGCTGCGAGAAGCTCTGAGGGATGAGAGGATATCGCCTATCAATACAATATATTGGACGTTATTGTTTTGGCCAAAGCCGTCTGAGGTTGGCGAAGCACACAGCTGAACATCCGTCATTCCCATTTCTCATGTTGACCATTTCATCTCTGAAATAAAGTCCACTATCACGCCGCTTCTTCCTGTCTCCAAGATAGTCTTACCCCTTTTCTCTATCCACCATAGCCTCACATCTCCTACCCTACAGTCACAGCGGTCGAGGCTCTTCGCTCTCGGTCGTAGATCTGACTACCCTCCCTCTTCCCACGTCACTCCAAACCTCGAGCGAACCCCGGACGAGAACGAACCATCATTATCTCTCATCACTACAGATCCTATGGACTACGCTTCACCGGTTGAGCCGTGCTCTGGACAGCTAACTGAATCCTTTTACTTCTCGCACCATGTTCAGTTCATGCGATTGCCACGGTATAGGTACTACCATGCCGAGATGGGTCGTTTCCCCCATGCTATGCATCGTGGTCGCTGGTCATTTCCTGGAATCATAGATGGGCAAAACGAGCGGTAGGAAGAGAAAATAGTGGTGGTTGACAGGCTTGTTGCTGGCAGTAGTGAGTCTACTTAGCGCGAACCTTGAAAGTGCGGGCAAGGAGGCTTGCGACATGGTTAGGTAGAGGATGCTTGCTCGTAGAGAGCATACAAACGGAGAAGCGTATTGCTGGCGCTTGGGAGAGGTTGGGGCGCTGCTAGATGCAGCTCCTTGATGATGATGATGATGATGATAATGATGATGATGATGATGAAGAAGAAGAAGAAGAAGAAGAAGAAGAAGAAGAAGAAGAAGAAGAAGAAGAAGAAGAAGAAGAAGAAGAAGAAGAAGAAGAAGAAGAAGAAGA